TATTCAGTATCTTGTAATAACCTATAATGGAAAAGAATCTGAAAACATATATATGTGTGTGTGTTTAAAAAAGAAAAAAGTGCTTACACCTTAGGGCAGCACCAAGCAGATAACAGCACATGAAATGGTAGCTATTCTTAACAACATTATTACCATTAATATTTTGCTTTTTTCCCCCGCTTAGCAGTCCCACTCTGGAAAAATTCTTCTGAGCAAGAGAATAGGGCCAACTTTGTTTGTTTGCTTTGTTTTGAAAGCCAAAATTTACTTCTACTTAACAATTTTCAAGATACTTTTAAAAAGGCCCAAGGGCCCAGAGATGTCCAGGTTTAATACAAGATCATGTTGTGGTGCTATCTGTTGGTTCCTCCATTGCTAAAGCCTCAGTTTGATCCTGGTTGATACATGCCCCGATAATTCTAATAGTTGAGTAATGATGATTTCCTCTGACTTTGGCATCTTTCATAAATGGCTATCAGAAAAAAGCAATGCCAGAAACAGTCATTGATAGAAAATTGCATGACTCAAGTGGAAAGCCACCACAGCAAGTCAAAAAATCAAAAATTAATCTAGTAACAAAACAAACTGAAATGTTTGCAGATTCTGCTTGAACATCTTTCTTGCATTGTTCTTTGAAACCAGGTCTTCTGATTATCAGTTTGGATAGCTGAGATCATGATGAGGCTCATCTGGTATTAAATGTAGCTCTTACAGAATAGAAACAACAAATGCCCTTCAAGATAAGATGCCAGGGGACAACTTTGTAATCTACTTTTAACAGTGTAAATCAAATCTCTTATTAATAAGTCACAGAAATCCTTATTTTAATGGTTAGGAAGATGGAAGCTAAGAAAGGTGAACTACTTTGTTCATGTTAATCCAACATTAGTGTAAGACAGCAGTTCTGAGTAGGTTTGGGGACCCCTGGAGGTCCCCCAAACCCTTTAAGGTCAAAGATGTATTCATAAAAATGCTAAGATATTGTTTGTCATTTTTATTCTCATTCTCTCATGAGTATACTGAATAAAATAGCTTATTCAGATTCTACCTTAGCAATTAACCTTATAGAAATTAGTACTCATCAATTTTTAATATTATATTAAAGCAATAGCTGCAATTACCTGAAAAGACCACTAAAATACGTCTTTTCTTTTTCAGGGGGAGGGGATAGCTCAGTGGTAGAGTGCCTGCCTCACATGCACATGGGTTCAGTTCCCAGTACCTGCACTTAAATCCTGGGTTCAATCCCCAGTACCCTCACTTAAAAAATAAGTAAATAAATAAACCTAATTACCTTTTCCCTTAAAAAAAAAAGGCATTTATTTTCAGTTGCATATCTATGTGAAGCTGGGTTTTCTTCATGTACTTCAATAAAACAACATAGTGCAACATAGTGAATACAGAAGTAGATGAGAGAATCTAGCTGTCTTTTTTAAAGCCACACATAAAAGAGATTTTTTTAAAATGTATAAACAGTGCTATTCTTCTCACTAATTTTGGGGGTGGAAATACAATTTTTTCCGTCAAAAATGTTATTTATGTTAACATGTAATGGGTTTACCATTAAATGAAGTATTTGAAAATTTCTCAGTTTTAATTTCTAATATGACAAATAATCAGTAGAAATAACCTACATAAACAAGCTTTTTGATGGCCTCAATAATTTTTAAGAGTGTAAAGGGGTTCTAAGACCAAAGCATTTGAGGACTGCCTGCTATAGGGTAAAAAATAAAATGTAAAAATTTACCTAGTATCCACCATACAGAAATAACATCATTCCAGACCTCTCTCTCCATATCTATAGATAAAGATAGATTAAACTGAATAAAGAGATAAAATGACATACATATTTTTGTTTTTGATAAAAACAATTATATTTTAGTTTTACTTGGATTTAACAGAAAGTATTTAACGGAAGGAGTACTGACCTTGAGATGCTTTTTCCACAAAGAATATTAGTTTGTAAAAGATGCCTTTAAGGTTAAGAAAAAAAAGATTATGAAAACCAATTTCTATTTTAATTTTAGACCATATAATTTGAGACTTCTTGCTTTTGAAAGATGAGAAAGTTAGCTAGCACACCCTTCTATAATTCCTGCATTTTTTAGTCCTGATTCTATATTTAATTCAAATTCAATGCTGGTATTAGTCCCTGTGCCACAGCCTCTCCATTCCTTCATTCTTTATTTTTGTTTATTTCTTTATTTGCATGGTTTCATTGTTCAATATCCTCCTTAAGAATTTGTGGGCAGTGTATCATCTGAATTGTGCATGTTTGAAAAAATGTCACCTTTCTTAAGGAGACCTTTGGATTAAGTCATTCTTTGTCTAGAACTTGTAGACACTGCACCACTGTATTTTAGCTTTGTTACTGTGGTGAAGTCTGAGTTTGATGTTTTCTCCTTTGTAGATGTGCTCTTTCTTCCTCCATTCCTTCCTTATTCCCAAAATTTTTGTATTGACTACTCTTTAGATTTTTTTTTAGATTACTTTTTTAATGGGTTTGTTTGTTTGTTTGTTTGTTTGTTTATTTATTTATTTATTTATTTAGTATGGGGAGGTAGTTAGGTTATTTTTGGAAGAGGTGCTGGGAATTGAACCCAAGACCTCATGCTTGCTAAGCACAGGCTCTACCACTTGAGCTATCCTCTCCCCCCATGTATTGACTACTCTTCATAATTTTTTCTTGGGGCAGAATAAGCCCTTTTGCATAGTTGCATCTTTATTTCAGGAAAGTTTTCTTCTTGTTATAGTTATGAATATTTTTCTTCTTTAGAAATCATTTTATAGCGCCCCCCCATTTCATTTTACGTGATTTCCTTTAGTGTTTGGTTCAGTGCTTCTCAAAAATTGAGCAAGTATAAGAATCACCTGGAGAGCTTGTACCAGCATGGCTTCCTGTCCTGCTCCCCTCAGGTTCTCCTTCAGTGGGTGTGGGTGGGGCCTGATTATTTGTGTTTCTGACAAGCTCTGGATTATGTTGATGATGCCAGTCCTTGACTAGCCTAGTATGTTCAAAGTTTTGGTCTCTGGACCTGTTTACTCTTTTTAAAAAATTGTGATATAAATTACATATAACACTGTTAGTGTTAGTTTCAGGTATATAATAACATAATGATTTGCTATCTGTATAGATTGTGAAATGATCACTACAGTAAATCTAGTTAATATCCATCACTATACAGTTACAAATTATTTTCCTTGTGGTGAAAACTTACTTTACTTTCTTAGCAACTTTAAAATACACAGTACAGTATTGTTAACTATAGTCACCATGTTGTATATTACATTCCCAGGACTCCTTTGTCTTACAGCTGGAGGTTTATACCTTTTACCACCTAACCCATTTTGCTCACCCTGGACTCCTCAACTCTTGAGAATTATTGAGGTCCTCAAAGAGCTTTGTGGGTTTTATCTACTAATATTAAAACTGGGAAATTTTAGAAATATTTATTCTTTAAAAAAAAAACTTGATGAACTCTGTGTATAACAAATAATATATTTTAATGAAAAATATTTTTAAAAGCAAACAAAAGTTTTTACTAATAAGAGCAGCATTATTTTTACATTTTCACAAATCTCTTTAATATGTAGCAAATCTCTTTAATAAGATAGCTTTTGCTTTTCCACTGGTGCATATCACTTGTATTGTAGCCTCTGGGAAGCTCTGTTGTACATCTGCGAGATAATAAAAGAGAAAGGAAAATAACATTCTTTTGAAAATAATGTTGAATTTGTGACCACCCCTTCACCCACCCCCACCCCAAATGGTCCTAGGAACCCTCGGGGATCGCTGGACCAAACTTTGGGAGCGTCTGCTTTATACTAATGCTTGGATTTTCTTGTTTTTTAAAGGAGAATTACTTAAATTGGTTTGTGAGAGATTTGATAGCATTGTATCTTAAAAGCCTTTTGTATTTCAGGTGACTTACTGAGTAACCTATTGCAGAGTCCTAGTTCAGCCAAACTGTTGAATCAGCCAATCCCCATCCTTGATGCGGAGAGTGAGTATATCTGTTCCCTGGCCTTGGAGTGCCTGGCTCATCTCTTCAGTTGGATTCCTCTGTCTGCCAGCATCACCCCATCCCTCCTTACCACCATCTTCCACTTTGCACGCTTTGGCTGTGACATCCGGGCCAGGAAGATGGCATCAGTTAATGGCAGCAGCCAGAACTGTGTGTTGGGTCAGGAGCGCGGCCGGCTTGGGGTTCTGGCCATGTCCTGCATCAATGAACTCATGTCCAAGAACTGTGTGCCTATGGAATTCGAGGAGTACTTACTGCGTATGTTCCAGCAGACTTTCTACCTCCTGCAGAAAATCACCAAGGATAACAATGCCCACACGGTGAAGAGCAGGCTAGAAGAGCTTGATGAGAGGTAATGAGAACAGGTGTGGAGTCGGCTGTGCCCTGAGAATGGGCCTTGGCTGTTTTATCACATTGTACTGCATAGTGTCTGTAATCCTCTTTGGTTTCAGAATTTGGGGCTCCTGGTGAGGAACGGAGAGGTAGGTGTGTACCAGTAAGTCTGAGCTTAGCTGGAAGGGCTAGGGTGGTTAAGGGAAAGAGTTGAGTTGGAAAAGTGGTTGTGAATTGTGTAGGTTGGTTGTCTTCTTTGCCCATCCATCTTCTGTCCTCCCTTCCACCCTCGTCCGCCCTCTTCCTCACTCTTTGCCTGCAGGTCTGAGGTGGTGCAGGAACTGAGACTGCCGGTCATGCGTAGCCAAGAACAGGAGAGGAGGCCCGTGGAGGTACAGGAGTTACAATCGCCCTTCCTCACTTGATGTTGCCTGTCGAGTCTTACTATTTGACTTTTCTCAAGTGAACATCGTGCAGTACATAGAAATACTGTCATTATTTTGAATTTTATACTGATGATGAGTTTATACCTAAAGAAAGAAGATAATTTGGGCACATTAATGGGGGCACACACCTGTGTTTCTTAGTTACTGTCCTCTTAAATGGAGCCTCAAATCACCTGGCCTCTCTCTAGTAAGAGCTCTAAAGGATGACTCCACAGTATGCTGAGGCACGGTCTCATTTATTTCCCTTACAGCTGATATCATTTATGTATCTTACAGCCTTCATTAATATGATGCTACTACTGTGTGAAAACAAGGGGGAGAACCTGGAAACTTATATTAAGAATGTTATATTGACTGTTCAGAAACTTCAAGCAGATGAATCGTATTGAATTAGTAAATATAGACTGCCTGGCAACAAAAGTTGTTAGTATTTTAATCAATTTTCCTTCGCTTGTTTTTGTTATTAAGTCATACAGAATTAAGCCATTTCCTTTTCCTTAGAGTAGGTAGCAGAATATAAAGTCAAGTGCCTAAAGTTAAGACAGTTTGGTGCTTCTTAAATTGAGAAATTTTAGTAAGTTTTTCTAAAGTTAAAAAAATTGGCACAGAAGATTATTTTGGTTTGGTTCATTGTAAACAAGCTTTGTGTGAAATTTTCTTTGTATAATCACAAAATAACTAATAATCTAATATGGTAATGTGTTGGTTTTATTTGTATTATTTGGTAATGGCTTTCTATTTGAGTTTAGAGGCATCAGCATTCAAAGACACAATTTTATATCCTTTCTAGCTTTGGTTAAGAAAGACTGTATTTTCATATGTAAAAAAAAAACCACAACAGTACCTAGATGCTTGTACCAACCATCAGATATCAGTTGTTTTGACTTTGACTTGTAGTCTAATGTTTGTTATGGCTTCCGTTTGGGTGGTGTAGAAATGTCATCATGGATCATCTATTTGCTGATTTTGTTACGTATAACTTGTGTGCTCTCGGTTTTATATTTTAATCCTATGCTTCCTATTGCCCTGTGAAAGCTGAGAGGTGCCTGGAAGCAGAAAGGTGACATGACCAATACTGTGTGTTTGCTTCTTGGCTCGTGGGCCCCTTAACCACTAATTCTCAACAGCTAAGTCCATTCTCAGTTGTTTAGGAGCTTCTTAACCAGGTCCTTTGCTTCTCTTCTCCCCTACTGCCTTTTTTCTAACTTTCTACTGCTCATTAGCACCTGTACCAGAAGGTGGGCCAGGGAAAGAAAATGAGGTGAAATAAAATCTGAAGTTTTAGCAACTGAACAGTCTTGCTTGTATTCTTTAAAAGAAAAAATTGGGTTGGAGATTACAATAAAATTGAGATTGCATAGCATTTGACCCGTGACTTCTCTTTATTCTTTTATGGGTGGTAGGGAAATGAGTGCACCTTCCTAAAGAGCAGGAAACTGAGCAAGGAATGAGCAGTTCCTGCTCTGGAGGGTTAGTGACTGAAGGTCCCAGAGAGAAGTCTTTTTGTACTTCCCATCTCTAAAATCAGTTGATTAGTGCTTTACTGTTTTTGAAGTATTTAGCCCCATGATCCTTGTTAAAAAGATTAGTTCTTGTTTTTCTTTTTTTTTTTAAGCCACACATAAGCGCCCAGATGTGTGGTGGTCACACAGACAGATTGGCCACCCTCAGGGTGATAGGTCCCAGGAACAATATGGGACATTTTCTTTATGGGCCAGTTTTGCTCTTCACAATAGTAGTTATCTTCTTCCCCTTTATTGTTTCATGTATCTTCACTTAAAAAAAAAAAACTTTTTGCAGTTAGGAGTTTCGGAATTGCTTTTAGCCATTATTCAGATTTTGGTGAAGGCCTAGTATATCTTTATCTTTTTTCAGCAGTCTTTGAAATGTGATTTATGGAGGTGTGTCCATCTCATTTTCGAATCACCTTTTGGTATTTAGGGGCTCAAAATGACAGTTTCTGAAATGTGAGAGTGGTGATGTGCTGTGTATTTAATAACAAAAATCTCTTATCCTTGCAGCTGTGACCCACGCTCTTCTGTGAAATGATTTTTGAATACAAATGAATTGGGAATTCACTGTGATGTGAAAAGAAACAGCACTGGAGTGGATGGTAGTCCTATTCTGCCATGTGCTGGCTGAGTGACCTTGGGCCACTCACTTTTATCTCTTGGGGCCTCATCTGTAAAATGAAGCATCACTCAATTGTCCCTGAGTCTTGTCCAGCTCTAACAGCCCTCCTCTCTTACACTGAAATCACTTTCAGAGTGGATTGGGATGTGCTATGTTTAGTTAGCACCAGGAGCCAGAGGGTGGGGGAAAAAGGGAACACTAGGTTGCAACTAAACATATCTTACCTGGATGCCATGCCTTTTTTGTAGCCTTGTCTTGTTTTTTGGCTTTTATTAGCACATTCATTTTGATATTTTGGCCTCCTAGCAGAGAAAACCAGCCTTCCAGACCTCCCACATTGAAATGACACATGATCTGCCCACTGACTTTTTAGTACCATTTCCTTTACTTTAATTGGGTCATAACACTGACTTAGAAAATATGAGAGCACTAGCTTATAAGATGCCTTACAAGATAGTGTCTGAGGATTAAAGTTGCTTTTCTGCTATGTTTCAGGTGGTAATGGAATGAAGGGTTGCCTGACCTGTAGGTAATTGTTGCAGGCCTTTATATTTTTAACTGAAAATATGTTATAAATCTGTATAGTTCTATACTGAAAGAAATTTGGATTGAATTTGAGTTCTGTTCAAAGAAGGTGGCTGGGTTTCTCATTGTTACCTTTTGTCTTCTTATGTAGCTACATCGAGAAGTTTACTGACTTCCTGCGGCTCTTTGTGAGTGTTCACCTAAGAAGAATTGAGTCCTACTCCCAGTTCCCTGTGGTGGAGTTTTTGACACTTTTGTTCAAGTACACATTTCATCAGGTAAAGCATCAGAACTGCCCATTCCTTCCTGCCCCCAAAGTCTACTTTGTTTTCTTTGGGAGAAAGAACTTCTTTATTTCTCAAACATTTATATAGTGCTTACTATATGAAGATTAACACATTTATCCTTCATAACGCCCCTATGAGGTAGGTGTTATTATCATCCCCATTTTGCAGATAAAGAAACTGAGGCACAAAGAAACTTGCTGAGGGTCATACAGTTAGTTAAGTGGGGGAGCCAGAACCCATAGAGTCTGTGCTCTCTTAACCACTATTATGTTGGAGAAGCAAAATATAGAAAAAGTCTGAAGTTAGGGCCATTAGTTTTAGCCTGCAACTAGCACTAAAAATTCCCACAAGGAGATTATAAATAGTGAAGCTCTCAAGAGTTACGTTTTGGTGGATCCACTTGTTTCCCCCATTCAACAAAACAAAGTTCTTGCCTTCACTGAGTTTACATTCTGATGACCCAGTAGTTTTTATTTGTGTATATATTTTAGCGGCTTTATTGAGGTAAAACTCACATACTAAGAAACTCATCCGTTGTAACTGTACAGTTCAATGATGTTCAGTAGATTTGTAGACTTGTACAACCATCATCACAGTCCAGCTTTAGACACTTCCATCGTACCCTATCACTTGTGTGTCTTTTTAAAATCAGCTTTTTATTGAAGTATCACACACATATGGAAAAGTACATACATCATACATGAACAGCTTCATGAGCTTTCCCAAAATGAACAGACCATTTAACCATCACCTAACTCAAGAAATAGAACGTGACTAGCACTCCCAGAAATCCCCTCGTGTCCCTTCCCAGTCACTCCCCTCCTCCCGAGAAGTAACCCCAGTCCTGACTTTAACCTCCTAGAACAGTTGTGCCTGTGGTAGAACCTCTCTAAATAGAAGCACCCAATGTGTATTTGTTTTGTTTGGCTTTTTTCGTTCAACATCGTGTTATGAGATTCATCTGTGTTGTGTGTGGCAGTAGTTCTCATTGTTTTATAGGAAGTCATTAGAAAATCCACTTTGCTGCTGATTTGGGCTGCTTCCAGTTTTTGGCGATCATGAATCACGTTGCAGTGAACGTTCTTGTCCGTGCTTTTTGGTGTCCGTGTGTGGCTCTTCTGTTGGTGCATACTAGGGATGAAACTGCTGGGTCAGTGAGGGCACCTGATTTTATAAGTAGACTTTTTTGGTTGTTTAAATCACTGATGCTGTAACTTAATGAGGCTAGAGGAGAAGGCTAGGGTGGAGGCTGGAAGGGGTGTGTGTGTGTGTTGCAGGGGATTTGGGAGGGTGCAGGTGCAGGAGGATCAACGGTTGAAGAAGTGACAAGATGTCTGATAGAGGGACCAGTGAGTGCAGAGCAAGGAAACACGCTGAGCTCACCAGGCCTAAGAAGGGATAGAAGAGGTAATGAGACGTAGGAGTTTGAGGATGTAGGAGAGAAAGCTCAGAGGTGGGAGAGTTTTGGGATGGATCCAGAGAAGTCTTAACGGAAAAAAGAGAAGGATTTGATAGATACCTTAGAATAAGTGTAGCAGAAATGGAAGAGAGATAAAGCGCCGGTGCTGAAGTCAGAGAGAAGGGGTTTATTTGGAAAAACAGAAGGAAAATGTCTTGCAGTTTTGTTCCCTTTATTAAGTGGGGTCTTCTAGTATACATGGTATAGAGGAAAGTGAAAGAAATGTGTTCAAGTATACATGTCTTATGCCTGCTTCTTTGGACATGGACCCAAAAGTTCTGTGTTTGAGCTCTGGTTATTCTGTTAGGTCTGTCTTTGGGCAGGTCTTTTAAATTTCCTTAGATTTCAGTTTCCTCACCTAAGGAGACTGTAGTGGGCACCTCTAGGGTCTTTCCGTGTTCATCTTCTCTGATTGTTCACTTGAATCCTACATGTTAGTTTTCTGTTGAACTGGTTTTATATGTTTATATGTGTTATGTACTGAGAAGAGAGCTAGACTGGTCATGAAGCAAACAGCAGGCTTCTCTCTTCCTCCCTCACCAGCAGGTCACTGTCAGCTGAGCTCCCCGTACTCTCCTGGCCTCCCGTGTGAGAACTTTCTGGGCGCAGGCTCTCGACTGTGGGGGTCGGTGGCCTTGAGGTGCAGGCAGAAGCGGGCTCTGAGCCTGGGCGGTGCCCCGGGCAGTTCAGCCTCAGGGAGGCCGCCCTTTTCTAGAGAAGTGGGGAGGGGAAAAGATGGCAGGGCGCACTCGGTAGGAGTGGAATTCTTTGGGATAAGATTTAAGAATAAGAAATTGCTCTTAAGAGAGAGCTTTAAGTTCTCATTTATTCATTAACAGTGTATTCTTCCTTTATCATAGTTTAATTATTTATAAAATGAGAAAACATGTGTTTTCTCTTGTTAAGAGGGTTATTATGACTGTACTTAGCCTAAAATTCATGGAAATTTTAGTACTGGTCAGCACATTTTCAAAGAACAGTAACAAGACAGAGACGGCGTTAGTATCGTCCTTTAACTGCTCCCTCGCTGTCTTTTCCTGCGTCTTTTCTTTCACCTGAGCGTCCCGCCGTGGTCCTTCCAGCCACTAGTGCACACCTCGTGTTTGCCTCCACGGTTACTTTCCTTGCTTGCTGAGGCCCTGGGGTGTCTGTATAAGCACATGATTTCTGTCCTCCTGCTCTTTCTCTTGCTGTATCATCACCAGTTCCTTCTTGGTCTTGCAGTTTCCAGTTTGCCCCTTCTTCCTAAAACACGCCTGAGATAGTGTGGCAGAGGGGGAAGGGCTCTGGACCTGGAGCCTTAAGATCCATGTTCTAGTTCTGTTTTTGTTCCTTGCCACCTTGGGCAGGTGACTTTACTTCTGAGCCATGGTTTCTTTATCTGTAAAATGGGAAGAAATAAAATACCTGTCGACTTTCCAGGACTATTGCAAAGATCAAATAGACCAGTTCCAATGAAAATAAGCCACTTGGAGACAAGAGTGGTATCATTAGTTTCTTAAAGAAACTTGTCAGGATCGTTAGTGACTAACCAGCCCTGGGACCTGAAAGGTAAATCTGAGTACAGGTACATTTTAAAAATGGGTCTGGGAGGGCTCTGAAAAGTTACATAACTCAAGTTCAGTCAGCCTGTCTTTGTGACCTTAATGATCTGCTCCCACAGCACTTGTCAAAGGCCAGATTGCAGTGTACACAGTGCACTCACAGTGAGGGCTGTAGATATGGATGTGAACAGTGGTGTTTCAGGTCCTGCAGAGAGTGTGTCTGCTCACCCTTTTTTCCTAGCCTCGAGCCACATAGTAAATCCTTAATTGAAAGATGTGGGGAAGATGCGTATAGTTGTGAAGAACTTTGACATAGCCATAAAATTTGGATTTATGAGGTGGCTTTTCTCAAAAGCACTTCCACATTCATCTGATCAGTTATGTTTTTTTGGCAAGGGGGGCTGGTAACTATTTTTAAGCCAAGGAAGGACAACTGGGTGACTTACAGGAAGCCAGCAAGCCAAAGCCTGGACAAGACTACAACTCCTGGCTACAAGTCGAGTACCTGTCTGCTATATTATTTCCACATGGCTTATTAATTATTTTTCCTGCTTATTCTTCTGGTTCATTTTGTGTTCTGAGGACGGCCCTGCCTGTGGTTCTGACTGAGCTGTAGCAATCTAGTTCCAGGGCTACCCTGTGGGTTGTGAGTTTGGAGTCTGCCACGTTTTTTAAGTTTACAGTTTTTCTGTCTCAGACTCAGCCTGAATACAGAACTCTCACTGTACGTCACCACCATCACTGTTAGTTATTCCTTGGATAGATTCCATATGTGCCCTTGTAAACTTCTGGATTTTCTTGTGGATCAGAAATGAAAGGAAACTGATAAACCAAGAAGGTGATGGTATTATTTCTTTCCATATCAAACCTGCCATCAAATTGTAGTTCAATGAAGTAATCAAAGGTAAAACCAAAGAGTTCTTGTAGGTAGCAAGAATTCGAGCGGATGTATAAGGGATTGGGGGACCACAAGTTAAAACTGAATGTGTATGAGAAGGACTAGATGTTGGAGAATATAATGCCTGTGTTTTGCATAAAATAGAATCTCAAGGCTCTTGAGAAGGTTGATAAGTGCAGTGGTCCAGGTGCTAGGACCTTGCAGAGACTTGCTCTTCTCTCCTCACTTTGTCCTTATCAGCACCTGGCTAGAGGTTGCTGTATGCCTGTTTGACACCCCTGCTTTGCAGATGAGCTAAAGCCTGTGGGTCAGATTTAACAAGCTCATTTTCAATCTGTTATGTAGGAAAACTGCAAATGTTACTTTCCCAGTGTACAAATATGTAAGCCTGTCACTTTGGAGCCACTGAAACTTATTTTTGGTTTTGTAATAGTATGTAGTGGAAAGAGCATTGGCTGAAGGTAAAGGGACCTCCTCCTGCTCCTGACTTTGAACATATCTCTGCATCTCAATTTCTTTTTCTCTAAAACAGATTGGAACTGGATGATCTGTAAGAGCTATCTGCATCACAGTCTCAGATTTTAGGATATGTGTTCACCTGGCTTATTTTGTAAATCATTTTGTCCTGCATAGTATCTCCTCAGCGATGTGTTCCATGGTACCCTTGTTTTTGTTAGGTTTACCAGGGACCAATCATGAAGACCGAATAAAAGACACCAATTGTGATTATCAAGAAGCTGAGGGAACCTAGGCTTATGGTTGTACCATTCTGGTGGAAGTAAATGCTGGTGGGTGTGTTTCTAAGGAGTAGCTGCATTAAGTAATTTCATTGTCTGGATTTCTTTTGCATCATAGCCTACTCATGAAGGTTACTTCTCTTGTTTGGATATCTGGACGCTCTTTTTGGACTATCTGACAAGTAAAATTAAAAGTCGTCTGGGAGACAAGGAAGCAGTTCTCAACAGGTAAACCACAGAAACATTGATAACTAGAAATAGACCTTTTTGTTAGTTTTTCTTATGACCATGTAGAGGCAACCATGCAGTCAGACCACTTTAGTGAAACTGAGTCATGTAAGCTATTTAGGTAGTAATGCCACTGAGCAGTTTCTTCTTTTTTCCCCTTAGATATCTTTTTAAAAAAACATTTTTCTGATTAAAAAAGTAATATGTATCATTAATTTTTTTAGGTATGATAATACTTTCTTGGTCCCCCCCCATAACCATGTGGCCTTTACTTGAGAGATATAAATGGAAGTATTTATTGGATGCAATGATATGACATCTGGGATTTGCTTTAAAATAATTCCCTGGGAATAGAGGGGAAAGTGGATTGGCCATGTGCTGATAATTGATGTCAGACTTAGTTGATAGGAACTTGGGGTTCATTATATTCTTACTCCTTCTGTATGTGCTTGAAATTTTCCTTAATAAAATAATAAATAATTGTCATAAAAATACTTATTTTAAAAACTAGCAAAGACAGAAAAATATGAAGATAAGTTATCCGTAATCCCACAGTCCAGAGATAATTATTTTTATACTTATTATATTTTAGAAAACAGAAAATGGGGAAATGTTGTTTTCCTCATATGTTTCTCAAGCCCATTTTTCTTGTTCGCAGGCAGAGAGTATGTTTCCTGTACACTGTGGTTATTATATATCTAATACCTAAAGCTAGTATATCTAGAACGCCTTGGCACATTGTGTTGTGGTATAATGGAGATGGTGAAGACACGCTCCCCCTCCCTCCATCCCTGGTCTGGGAAGAGTTGGACTGAACCTCTAAAGCCCTTTCTATTACTGAGGTTTTATGAGTTTTAAAAATTCTAAACAGTATTTGCATTCCATGTTTAAGCATTTGCACTTTTGTTTCCAAAATTATTTTTAAAGTTATTATGGTGTCAAGTCATATGGGTAGTATATTTGTAACTCAGAAACCTTCTTACACAACAGTAGATCCTATTTTTAGTGAATTTGCCAACTGTGAGTAATTGTGTTTTTGAATGAGATTCTTCAAAGAAAAGGCACTTCCGCCAACTTCTCTTTCTTGTATGCCGAACAGTTGCATCCTTTGGTTCTGGGGCTGTGCCTGATTTTGCTATATTTAAGTGGTAGATACTTTTTCACATCTCTCAGGCTTGTTGAAAGAATAAACTGAGGAAATGATTAATATGAAAATGCTTTTTAAAGCACAGTACAAATGTGCTTTAGGTGTGGAGAATATGGTTCCATTGAGAAAATATATGCTAGCACATTATTAATATTAAATATACGCTTGTGCAGATGATTGCACCAGTAGAAGAGCAGTGGTGCAGAGTTTAAATTCCTTTTCTGCTTCGTGGTAGCAGTGTTACTTTTGGTCAAGTTACATGCTGAGCACATTTCCTCTTGCACAGTGAACATACTAAGAACTGCTCACAGGATGGTTAGGATTCAAGGAAATCGTGCGTGTAAAAAACCTGGCACAGCATCTAGCATGTATTAGGCACTCAATCAGTGGTCACAGCGATGACCACACTAGTCATAATAAGTAATAGACGATGCTGCTGCCATTTAACTGAGGTGGTGACCATGGAGTTAAGTGAACAGGGCCCCTGGACGGCAAAGCCCAGTTACAGACGTTGACCTGCCTGCCCAGGCATCTGCCATCTGCTGTCTCAGTTGTCAGTGGTTCTGGCTGACCACTTTTAAACACTAGGGATTTTTCTCATTGATCATTTGATTATTATCCAAGCAAGGCTTTATAGTTTTTCATGGCTTTTCTTTTTTCAAACATATACGTGTAACACTTATGCCTTTAAAAAAACAAAACAAAAAAACCCCCAGACCTTCAAAGCTGGTCTGTGGTTTATGCTGTTAAATGGTAACCATCATCTGGGGAACTGCTTGTCCATCAGACACCTCCTGGTGGTCTAAGGTAGTAGAGTACAAAGAAGGGTGTATAAGGTAGTCCTCTGGGGTGCACAGAGAAAATAGTTGGCCTTTAATTTTTATGTTTTTCCTATTACCTCTTAAGGCTGTACGTTTATACAAGTGTGTACTCCAAAATTTTTAATTGAAAGTTTTGAAAGTTTGACAACCACTACTCTAGGTTGTATTAGAGACCCCAGTATATTAGAGATGCACTGTTTTGCAGAAGCAGCTGATAAAGAGCACTGGCTACTGGTAATTACCATTTTCATTTTAACGAAGAGCATGTAAATGCGATCAAATGTGTTTCAACTGATAAAATATATCTGTAAAGGAGTTGGGGGGCTTTTGTGGCTTGAGCCAAAATTTCAGAAGCAACTGATCTTGCAGGAAGTAGTCAAGAATGTTTTCTTGGTGTCTTAAATGGGAAACGTAGGTGTGGTTAAGTCACAGAAGCAGCATTCAGTTCCTGTCCCTTGTGGTTTAAAGGTTTTGCATCATTCATCACAACAAAGTGGTAGGCATTGTAGGCTACGAATTTAGAAGCACAATCGTACATGGATGTATTTTTGGTCCTAGGAGCTTGGAAATTGGAGCTCTACATGCCTTGCTCAGTGAGAATGCTTAAGGGTTTTTTGATCAGAGCTGGTGGGGACTTAGAGAACTGAGTCCCAGTTTTAATGGAATAAGTGTTCTGTAACATGCTAAGCTGAACACAGCTGTTCATGGGGTTCGTTGTCTAGGTTTGCCATTTTGAAGGGGCGGTGTGGGAAGACCTGAATTTCAGTCTTTTCCTCTTTGTACTTGGGGAATGGTTGTGCTTACTTTACAAGCTGAGAATATTAAATGAAGCGATGTGTGTAAAGTATCTTGGTTGACATTAGGTGTTCAACAAATAAGTACTGGCTGTCTTCCCTTTTCTCTCTCTCTCACTCCCTTCTCTTTGTGCTTGTCAATGTGAAAGGAGACACCTATGTAGAAACTTCTTTTTACAGGAAGATGAGGAAATCTGAAGTGAGTTAAGCAACCAAAAGTTATTGAGTCATGTCCTGTGAACCTCTTTGTCATGAGAGTGCTGGCAAGTGCTGACCACAGCCTGCCAGGGATTCTGGGTGACATTAGATTGGCCTGTAAACAAACGTGGCTAAGCGTGAGAAAAATGGCTACCCCTTTTTTCCAAGTGTGTCTTTCTGTTTAATAAAGAAGAAGTGCCATTGTGACACATGGCATTTTCATGCAATTAATAAAAGGTACTAACGAGGTTTATATCAGGGCTCCAGTGGCATTCTAGCTCCTGCTAAGAGAAATTCATGCTGTTGACTTGCCCCAGAGAGCAAGATCTTAGTTATTTCACTGAGTTGAAAAAGCTATCCAAGATTGTGCTTCAGTCCTTTGTACTTACCTGACTTGGAATTTTGTCTCTTTATTGCCTGTGTTTTTATTCATTTGTTTGTTCTTTAAATCATTATGTATTTACTAAGCACCTCTTCTGTAGTTGCCTTTACATATATATAATTTTAGTTATTTCTCAGAAGAAGTTGGGGTGCTTTTGGAGTCACATTTGTGGCTTGAGCCGCACAGGTCTATAGGTTATCTCCATTCTATATTTAAGCATTTTAATGCTGTAGATTTCCCTCTGAGCACTGCCTTAGGTTTATCTATCAGATTTTAATATATTGTATTTTCCTTTTCATTCAGTTTAAAATATTTTGTGATTTCTCTTGATATTTCCACTCTGTTGTTTAATTTCTAAATCTTTGGGCATTTTCCATGTTTTCTTGTTAACTATTTTCTAGTTTATTATGATCTGCAAGCATATTTTATGTGATTTCAGTTCTTTGCAATTTGTTAAGGTTTGTTTTATGACCTGTGTTCTTGGTTGTTGTTCATTATGCACTGGGAAGGGCTATGCATCCTGCTGTTGCTGAGTGGAGTGTTCCAGGTATGTCTGTTCTGTCAGGTTGTTGATAGTATTCTACATGTGGTCTTTATCCAGTTTGTTGTAACCATTACCAAGAGACAGGTGAACTCTCCAAAGTATAATTGTGGATTCATCTATATCTTCTTTCAGTTCTGTCAGTTTTTGCTTCACTTATTTTGAGACTCTTGTTAGTTTCATACAAATTTAGTTTGCCTTTTCAGTGTCTATTGAATGTTTGACTGTATCTCTTCATGGGTTTTTTTTTTTAAAGATTGCTCTGGGTATTAAAATACATATATATTTAACTTTTCAAGTTAACTGAATAGCACTTCAAGTGTAATGTAGAAACCTTACCACCAGATAGATCCTTTTGCCCTCCCTTCTCTATATTGAGTTTATGTATTTTATATCTATGTACATTGAAAACCCCCTCATACAATGTTCTATTACTGCTTTCATCAAGCTTCATATTTTAAAGATCTGAAGAGAAACAATAGAAAAACAATCTATTGTTTTTACCCAGACATTTGCC